TAATTGTATTAAGTTAGTGCTTTAATGATACATGTAAAGTGTTTAATATAAATGTCTTAGCTGGTTATTATGTGGCCAAAGTGAGGCTAAAAAATTCCAACCATGCATCAAAGAAATTACAGAAAGGAACCAAGTTCATTTTCAATTTACTTATTTCATTAATTTTATTTACCCAAGAAAAAAATAATAAAATGGCTAACAAATCTATAATGCAGAGTCATGCACAACAATTTAGTGGTGCCTGACTAATAATATTACCAATATCTGGAAAAAGTGATTCCTCAGAATCAAGCAATAAAACAGCATAATTACATGAAAATTGCATACTAGGTTTGATTGAGTCTGTACATGAGATAATGAAAAATGATGATAATGACAAACCAATAACTTACAAAAATCATTAACATATTAATTAATATATTTAAACTTGAAAATTCTGTTACAACTCTGTACTTAACCCTATGTCATGTGTAAGTATCGTATTAACTTGCCTATATAACCATATGTCATGTGTAAGTACCGTATTTACTTGCCTATATGACCATATGTCATATGTAAGTACAGTATTTACTTGCCTATATAACCATAATTATGTCATGTGTAAGTACAGTATTTACTTGCCTATATAACCATATGTCATGTGTAAGTACAGTATTTACTTGCCTATATAACCATAATTATGTCATGTGTAAGTACAGTATTTACTTGCCTATATAACCATATGTCATGTGTAAGTACAGTATTTACTTGCCTATATAACCATAATTATGTCATGTGTAAGTACAGTATTTACTTGCCTATATAACCATATGTCATGTGTAAGTACTGTATTTACTTGCCTATATAACCATATGTCATGTGTAAGTACCGAATTTACTTGCCTATATGACCATATGTCATATGTAAGTACAGTATTTACTTGTCTATATAACCATAATTATGTTATGTGTAAGTATCGTATTTACTTGCCCATATAACCATATGTCATGACTGTGTAAGTACCATATTTACTCACCTATATAACCATATGTCATGGGTAAGTACCATATTTACTTGCCTATATAACCATAATATCATGGGTAATTGTGAAGGCTCATAAATTACTAGTTGACAAAAAAATTGTTCACAGGCAACAAAACCTGTGTTCTAAATCTTTAAAAAAAATCAGATAGGGAAAAACACTACACAAAATTTATAACATCTCAGTGACGATAAAAAAAAAATATTAAAAAAGATTTATTTCAATTCATCTGTCCCTGTCAAGCTGATAATATTCTTTGTGCTTCCGTATTTGTTCCCTTCACAATGACTTTGCTTTATCTTTTTATTTTTCTCTCCCTCCTTTATCAATGCATAAATAAAAAAAAACAGGGGAAAAAAATGAAACAAAATTGCCGAAAGGATTTTCACTGAAATCAATATACCGATTTGATCAAAGATCTTACGATAGCATTTTCAATGGATCAATTGTACATTACTTTAGAGCTCAGGACTTTAGACGAAGGATATCTATGATAAATAAGAAGGCCATCTTCTATCCTATCCAAGATAAAAATGTAAATAATCATAGCAAAAGGTATTCCATTATTGATTTTTAATGACACCTTATGTAAATCTTGAAAAATTTGTTCAATAATTACCATTGAAAGAGAGACCAACCTAGTTATATCCTAAAAAAAATAATTCAAATTGTTATCAAATTTTGTTATTAACTACTAATATTAACTTTGTATTTTATAAATTTAGTATTGTTACTCTTTGTACATATAAAATGACATTCCTATGTTATTGAGAATATTCATCTATTAGAATCATTCTCGTATTAAGTTAAGAGGTTTAAAAGTCCCTATGCTATAGATCAATAGCTCTGTTGCTATTGTTGGTTCTAAGGACCTCAGGTTATAAAGTAAGTTCACTGTTGCCTGAGCTGCATTGCCTACTCTGAGGATATCTTATAACTATCTTTTTCAACTTACAACAGATTTAAATATTTGAAATTTCAAACCAACAGTTAAACAATTGTGTCAGTCAGTGCTCTCTTATTTAATTGTATCATAGTTTGGGGACCTTTCTTTTAACAAGGTATCAGAGTTAAATCTTATACATATACATGCATCTTGCATTAACTGGATTGTAGGTATTAGTTACCCGCACTCCAGAGCATGCCCAATTTGATTGGCTCATTTTTTCTGGGGTTTACTAATTGTATAATATAGCGCTTGAAATATTGCATTCAGATGTCCGTTGACATTGATTACTTTTTTACTGGAGTTTCATATTGTGACAACATGGAACATGTTTTTATATTTGACTATGAAACAAAAGAGAAAGAACATCAAAATACTTGGCAATCTGATTTATGGGGGGGGGGGGTATGCCCCATCATACGATTCGATGCTCTTTCTATTACATAAAATGTCTTAATAGTTACAATACAGCTTTCTGGGGAATACAGTAGAAACTTTGAAATTCGGACCATCTGAAAACCAGAATCCTGACTGATAACTGAATGATTATAAAATTCCTGTATGACCTTATATTAGTTCATTAAAAATATCCTCTAAATACCGGAACCAGTCCGAGATTCCGAAAACGGAACGGTAATTAAATTAAACTACTGTGTGTTCTAATGTGGATTAAAGCATAATCCCAACGACAACAAGTGACATGTTCAATTACCAGCTAATGGTCACCTGCTTTATCTATGCAGGTGTGAAAAACACTTGTCAGTGTTAATTTCAGTGTATAAATTGGCAATATCTTTAAATATGATTTTCCAAAATGTTTAATTGTATTTCAGGATATTTCTGCTTTGCTTAAAAGATTGATCTAAGAATTAACTTTTTGGAGGCATTTTTTATGTAAGAATAAAAGGAATAAATTCCATTAATTATATGGCTTATGTTTTCCCTGTATTTTTTATGGGAGGGCTTAATAGTCTGCCTTCCCCTGACCTATCTGCATTACAGGACTGGAATTTAGTTTCCATATATAATAATAATCAAACTTGCTGCAAAGTGAATCCTTTGGTTATTTTTTACACAACTAGACCTATCACTAAAGGCAGTCTTCACGAAAAGCTCAAAAAAGCGCATGACATTCGGGCCAGTAAAATATCAAATCTTACTGGACTTGGTGACTTTTAGCCAGACCAAATACATAGATAGGTAATAAATTGATGGGTACAGGAAAACACTTTATCCTGCTTCCCTTGATAATTTTGAAAGACTGATTTTATAACCTTGATGAAGACTCATGAGAGTCGAAACGTCGGTTATCATCATTAAATAAACCTTAAAACTTATCCTGTGTTGATTGTTTGTTCCACTTTTATAGTTTTTCTTGAATTTTGAAAGAAGCATAATACATCTTGTATTCTGGGCTTTGAAAAATCATTAAGGACCAAATGTTTAGGCAAAAATTGACTAGAATTGAACATGAACAACGTAATTTTCTTCAACAAATCATTTTCACACAAAATATTTACTTTAACTCAATAATCACAAAATCATAGCTAAATAATGACCTCAATAAACAATGGTTTAATTTCCGTAACTGTACAGTGCGGTACGTAAAATATAACAAGAAAAATAAATGGCGGGCGGCCTCCATTACTCAATACAATTTAGACATCTCTCACAGTGTTTTGAACATTTAGGACAGAATTGATGGGTTTTATTTGCAAAAAAAGGCAAAAAGATCAATCTTTTAGAGAACCCTGCTTCATTATTTTGATGAATTTTTCTTATAATAATTTTTCATGACAAAAAAATCTACTGGACCATCGGACCACCAACCTTGCAATAATCACCGGACCGATGCTAAATTTAGTGGCCTCGGGCCTCGGACTGGCTTTAATTTCGAAGACTGTAAAGGTGATTAATACCCCCACAATCAACCTGACTTTTTGAAAAATAAGTGGAATGATTGAAGCAAAATTTGAACTCAACCTTTAATTTATGAAGTTTTAACTGAGTACAAAGAATTATTTCAATTAATTGCAATCGCAACCAGGGTCTTCATAATTATAAACTTGCTTTATACTAAATTTCGATTATAATATCTCATTCCTTACTCTATTGTCCGAAAACCATTTTTCTTTGTTCAGAAACAGTGACACTTGACCCCAGGAGGTCCAAATGCAATCCCAACTGGTGTTTCCGCATCAGATTGCTTAATACTAAGTCTGAGTATAATAACACATTCTTAACTAAAGTTTAGTCCCAAAACCATTTTTCTACTTTTAGTAACAGTGACCTTGACCTGATCCCAGGAGGTCCAAAAGCAATGCCAACCTGGGTCTTCAATTATCAGCTTGCTATATATCAAGATTGATTACAAATTCTCATTGCTAAGTATAGTTATTGTCCAGAAACAAATTTTCTATTTTAAGTAACAGTGACATTGACCTTGACCCTAGGGTTTCTTGATGTAAGATTGCTACATACCAAGTTTAATAACAATATCTCATTCCTATTTCTTATTAAAGTCGGGAAACCAATTTTCTATATTTAGTAACAGTGACATTGACCCCAGGGGGTCCAAATTCAATCCCAACAGGGGTCTTCATTTAAGCTAGCTATATACCAAGTTTGATTACAATATCTTATTTGTAACTCAAGTTATTATCTGGAAACAATTTTGCTATTAATAGTAATGGTAACCTTGACCCCAGGGGGTCAAAAAGCAATACCAACCTGGGTCTTTATATAAGCTTGCTATATATCAAGGTTGATTACAATATCACAATCCAAACTAGTTATTGCCAGAAAACCATTTTTCTAATTTTATTAACAGTGACTTTGACTCCAGGGGGTCCAAATGCAATACCAGCTGGGGTTTTCATATAAGCTTGCTATATATCAAGTTTGATTACAATATCTCATTCCCAACTCTAGTTATTGTCCGAAAACCATGGAGGAGACAAACCTTAATTTTGTTTGTGGGGGTATAATGACATGGACACAATTTTAAACATAAAAGTATTATATTAACTTTACCTGTGTAGTATCCATAGTGCTGTAAATGCTTTCGCATAAAACTGTCATACGGATTCTGAAAATATAATAAAATAATAGTATATAAATCATCTGGTTTGTAAATAGTGATAAATTTATAAACTTTAATTTTCCAAGATAATTATATCATTTTTTTTTTGTATATGTTTTTCTGATATTTAAATAATGCTTCAATAAAAATACAATTTACACATGTTCCTTATACATGTATATTAAATAATGGAGTTCGTTATTTTTTATGACAGAGTTTTTCTTTATTTCAACACTGCACAATGAACAATGAGGATTTTGAAGAAGTTGTGTATTATAAAAAAGCAAGGAACAGCACTATTTTGGATTTAATTTGTTCCAATAGAAGCAAATCATAGACTGTGTTGCTGTTTGTAAACTTAAAACTTTAAAACAGATAATGAATGTCATCAGCTTGTATAAAATCAAGAATAGGAGCAGATTAATCACCTCAATTTCCTTAAAGAGGCTAAAAAGCAAAGTATGCTTGGTGCAAAGTAATTACATTAAACTCAAGATGTGCAATGTCTGTCACAATGGGTATTCAGGCTACATTGTGCTGATGCTAACATATTTTTGTTCATATAACATATGGTACATGTATGTACAGTTCCAGCATATAGCAATATATGCACCTCTGGTGAATCATGACAACCCTACATGCTTTGGATGACTATAGGAAGATACTTAAAATTGCTTTTAATCATTCAACTAGGTACATCTTGGATAAAAATATTGCGATACCAGTTAGGAAAGCGTAACATGCAGCTTCATAAACTACAGATCCTAATGTTAAATTTGATCAAAACATAGAAACCCATGTTTACTGACATAGATTACGTGCACAAAGTCAGGCTGAGCTTGCAGCATTATCAATACACATTGAATTTGTTGCAATAATTACTCGGTAAATATGTACTCAGGTATTGTTTGTTTGTTTGATTGAGTTTTAAATCACATCAACACTGTGAGTATAGGTCATATGGCGACATTCTCAATGCTGGTGGAGGAAGACCTAAGGTGCCAAGTTCCGTGCATTATTTCAGGCAGGAACGGGCACCTGAGTAGAACCACCAATGTTCCATAAGCTAGCTGGATAGTTATCACTATTCATTGAATTTTTGTTTGCAATAATTACTCAGTAAATATATACTCAGGAATTGTAATAATAGATAAAATCCATACTCAGTAAAATTGATTGAATGTAACCATTCCTAAATGAAATATAGAATATGGTTGAAAATTACTCAATCAATAATGGCTGAAATAATACTTAATAATTAATAATTATATTGTGATAATGTTTTTATTTTAACATATGCACTGTTCGTTATCTTGTAAATATGCTGTATTATGTCATCATGGGCTTATAAGCCTTTTTGATTGAAATAAAATGTCTGTCTGTCTTAATGATTTTGAACTATGGTGAAATTATAATGCTCAATGAATGTGGTTGAAACCATTACTTGAGTAATTATATGGAATGATTGAAATTGTTATACAGAGAATATGGTAAAAATCATTACTCAGTAAATTTGGTGTATATATTACACTAAATCATTACCAGTAATCAGTGAATATCGTTGAAATCATTATTCAGTGAATAAATGTATTAAAGGCTAAAGAAAATCAAAAACATCTAATTACATGACAATTCCTATCACGAGTTTCCTCACCATACAGAATGTATTAAAATACACATATAGAAATGGTCATAATTTTTCTTCTGAAGTCAGAAGAAAAGACAAACCTGTGTTTAAAATGTTTATCAATTGGTTTGAGAGAATGTTAGATGCTTTACAGGATGAATGTAGCGCTGAATGTGAAATAATTTGGCATAAAAGTAGTAAAACATAAACAAAATAGTATCTTGTCTTCTGTACAAAATACTAAATAGAAATAACCTAATAGCAAAAGATGGTTCAATCAGCTACATGTATATGGCAAACATGTAGGTTTCGGTATTATAACACCAAAGAAAAAGTTTTCAATAGGTAAAAATAACAGCATTTTTAGTGCTTTAATGGGCCTTTAACTTTTTGACATTGACAATCTAACATGGTACAGCTTTATATTCAACAGAAGAAACATGTAAACACTACACTTGAAATATTTCCATTTGAAAACAAACAAATCAATCATAAAGAAGTAAAAAATCATACTGTAATCCTTTATTTGACATAAATTTACCTGAAACAAAAATGAGAATTTTAAGCCAGTTTTTAAACAAAATAATGAATATTTACCATTGATATTCTGTTCAGCCGTTATATCCACTATTCATTAAAGTTCAAATGTTAAGTTCTAAATCAAACACTGTTTAATTCCACTTTGATAAAGTATAGATTAACTTGAAATCAGGGGGGAAACATGTCAAACATTCATCTCAAGATTTCTATGTAAAACATTTTCCCCCATTTTAGAGCTAAATTAAATTTCCTTCTAAACCTGTAAGTGAATATCATCCACTTTACACTTTGTAAATAATTATTTTTTTAAACTTCTGTCAATAATTTTTTTTTCAAATTCTTCTTTTTTCCATTCAAATTTTTTTCTTTGTCAAAGGTAAAATTACACTTGTGTAGGAGAAAGAAATATAAAAAAAACACACACACAAATTTGTACGTAGATATAATAACTTGATTTGAAAGAGTGAACCAGTAATTTATGCTTATTTAATTGTTCAATGGGGGTTATTTTACATATCAAGTATTTGGTATCTATTATAGTTATTGACAGTATAGAAAGGATTAATTTTCCTTCACCATTTGAGACATGTTACAAAAAGATTAATAGATTTAAATTAAGCATGATTGAAAAGTATATAACTTAAATGATTTACAATAAAAGCAAATCTTTGATGAAAGATAAACTAGAAATGTGTCCATAGGACACGGATTCCCCCACACGCCACTGTTCTGTCAATCTTATGACTCTAGGTCAAATATTTTTTGGACTACATGTGCCACAAGTTGAAAACTAAAAATCAACAAGGGGCCATAATTCTGTTAAATTTGGTCGCAGCAAAAATTCCTTACTTTAAAACCATCTACACATTAAGGTTGTTCATCCCTGGAAGCTTAAGCAAAATCTGCCATTTGGTTTAAGAGGAGTTGCATTCACAAAATTTCTACATAGTATATAGTGAAAAAATCAACAAAGGGCCATAATTCTGTAAAATTTGGCCGCAGCGAAAATTCCTTCCTTTACTACCATCTACACCTTAAGATTGTTCATCCCTGTAAGTTTAAGCAAAATCTGCCACCCGGTTTAAGAGGAGTTGCATTCACAAAATTTCTACATAGTATATAGTGAAAAAATCAACAAAGGGCCATAATTCTGTAAAATTTGGTCGCATCAAAAATTCCTTCCTTTACTACCATCTACACCTTAAGGTTGTTCATCCCTGTGAGTTTAAGCAAAATCTGCCATCCGGTTTAAGAGGAGTTGCGGTCACAAAATTTCTACATAGTATATAGTGAAAAAATCAACAAAGGGCCATAATTCTGTTAAATTTGGTCGCAGCAAAAATTCCTTCCTTTACTACCATCTACACATTAAGGTTGATCATCCCTGTAAGTTTAAGCAAAATCTGTCATCCGGTTTAAGAGGAGTTGCGTTCACAAAATTTCTATATAGTATCTAGTAAAAAAATCAACAAAGGGCCATAATTTCTGTTAAATTTGGTCACAGCAAAAATTCCTTCCTTTACTACCATCTACATATTAAGGTTGTTCATCCCTGTAAGTTTAAGCAAAATCTGCCATCCGGTTTAAGAGGAGTTGCGTTCACAAGATTTCGGGACGTAGGGACGGACGGACTGACGGACGGACGGACGGACAAGTGCAACGCTATATGCACCCACATTGTGGGGGCATAAAAAGGGGAAACAAAAAAATGAAAGAAAACACATGACAAAAGCTTTTAATATCATTTTAATATTATATAAAAAACATCAATATAAGAGTAAAGTGTTAACTCTTTTGTAGTTTTGTAATCTTATTTTCGTTTTCTTTTCTGATATATTGTAATATATGAATATTAATGTTAAGATGATAATGGTCAATCATTAGGACTGTAGCAGTTTTCCAGTTTTTAGCACATTCAATACTCTATGGCAATAGAAAAAGCCTTTAGCCTGCTAGTGCCCAGCCAATCAAGCATTAGGCCTAACGAAGGTACATCCCTGGTGAATAAATGATAGTTCTATGTGCTGTCTTTTACATTTTTCAAAGAATAATTCCAAAATGCATGCAAGAGCCTTGTTAAATGAACAACTTCCTATCTAAAAATTTGCAGCATTTACAAAAGTTAGAAACACATCAACTAGCACTTTCTTATATTCTTAGTATGCCCAATTACTTCAAAAAGGATACAGGAATAGATGACAAAGATATGAGCAGACACAACCATCAATGTACTATTTTGACATACTGGAATAACCGTAACATCTTTCTAGTGGGTTAATATTGACCTCTATGCAATGTTAGCTTTACAAATGTTGCATATATATATTAAGCCCAAATGCAAGTAAAAGAAATCTGTATCTTAAAACCAAAAGGGACTACATCCTACATAGCAAATTTATAACTCAAAAGGGACCCTCTGACACATTGAAATATAAAGGGTCAACATTAATTCATTTGTAAAACATTTAATTAGAGCAAAAACAGACGTAATTATATTATGCAGAAATCGTTTATCAATGCATTAAGACATTATAGTAAACACTAAACAGCACAGATTTATAATATCTTATTTCATTGTCTCTGCAAATCTTATTTGTGAATAACAACCGTACATGTATGAATATCACAACTTGGTAACTCTACACTGACAAGAAGGTTAGATTGCAACTAAAAACAGTTTGGTCAAATGATTTCCATTTTCAATTATAAAGCTTTAACAACAGTCTTCTAACTTACACCTAGAGTGACTACAGAATTCTATACCTTGCTTAATTTATGAACCTTCAATCTTTTTTCTGAATAGGTGATTAACTCCTTACAAAATGACAGTATTGAAAACTTTTAATCAAGCTTGCAATGACTTTTTTATAAAGGTAAATATAGGTCAAAACAAACAAGGTTAAACTTATTGAATATTTCTGCCTTCTTACATACAAATGAAAAATATTTTAAACACTTCAATTCTTTGTGAATTTCAGTGCTTTTGAGCTTTTAAGGTATTTCAGACATATACCTACATGTAGCATTAAATATTACAGACATAAACATAGGACTTAAGACATATGCCTTATCCATTTATAGACATATACCTTATATTTCAGAAATTTTTCATTATAATACCTAGTATTTTATATATATACCTACATATTTTGGATACATACCTAGTATTATGACATAAAATTACCTGATATTATTTAAGACATCAACATATATATTTAACATATATTTCAAACACAGACATATACCTTAAGTGTTATAGCCATTTATATAGTACATATAGCAATTTATATAGTACATGTTTTTCAAACTCTCAGCAAGGTTGGCAAAAGGTTGTCAAGCCCAGTGGGTAATACATTTGTACTGGGAAAACCCGGGTTTTTCTGGGTAATACAGGGCATTTCTGGGTAATAAAATTTTCAATACAGCATAATAGTTAATACTATTAACAATATGTTTTGAATATATAGTGCATTTAGAGATGCATTCTTTACAAAGAAAGGTGTTAACATTTAAGTAACTTGAAGGGATAATTGTATGTATTAAGGAACAATATACTTTACTAATAGCTCAAACTGGGGGATTACCTATAATGATTCTTTATAATAGTACCAGCAAAAACCTAACATATTAAAGTGAATTTGAGCTAATCTGTGTGTGAAAAGTTTTTACAAGTAAAGCAAGGAAAGGTTTAGTCAAGCAAACAAGAAAAAGTGACTTTCTGGAGTAAATGGAAATTTTCATTCTCTAATAACTTTAACACGAAACTTTTATAAAAGGACCCCATTTGGAATTTTTTCGATATAACTGAGGTAGATTCAAAGAAGACTGCAAAATGCAACCGGTGTAAAATTATAGTTAGTGCAAAAAGTAAGAGGCTAAAAGCTCACAGACAAAAATGCTGTGGCAGGTCTTTCGATCTTGATATTAGGACAGAGATACATTATGTACACATAGTGAATCACAGTCTATTCTAGAATTGTTCAGATACTGTATCACAAACAGGAGATTCCAAACCTCCAACTCCAGTGAAAAGGAAGATGAAAAATTGTAAGTAACACTCATTTATATTGGAATATATTATCTGGACTGGTTCTATGTGCTAGTTCAATTATCTGGACCTTTTATGTGTGCTAGGCATTTATTAGGATGTCTTGACAGTGAATACAAGCATCTAAAGTAGGCTTATTTCTATTTTGTAGGAGATGATGAGATCCATGATTCCCCATCCACTACTAAACATGCCAAGTTTCGTCAATGGAACTTAAGTGGGTTTGTTGTAACAACACTTTCAGCTACTTGAGAAAAATTAGATGAGCAAATAGCCACACTGTTTTATGCTTGCACCTCTCATTTAATATTGCTTATAATCCTGTTAGGCAAGAACCTATTGAAATGTTAAGGCCAGGGTACATCAGTCCAAAACGCACTTGGACATTGGTGGTTAGCTGTTGGATAAAGTATGTGAAAAGGTTGTAAACAAAATGAAATCTGATCTCAAAGGAAAGGATGTTGTGTTGGTACACGATGGGTCTCTCAGGATAAAAAATTACACCAAGCTTTATAAGGCTTATTAACTTACTCAAAAAAAGAAAATGTTCAATAATTTATTTCTGTAATAAATACATAAAAAAAGTATTTTCCGTATGGAAAGCCCATAACTTTTGTTTTAATTATGTTGAAACTTTGGATAACTATGCTTAAAGAATAAGCTGAAAGTATCTACAAAGGAGGATATGTGTAAGATATTTTTTTTTACTTAATTTACCAGGTAATTGCGCCATTAGTACTGACCAGTGTTAATTACACACTAAATTTTAAGGCTCAAATGTTAATTTAACTGCTTAACTTGTTAATTTCATTGCTTAAAATATGTTTTCATTCTGTAGATTTTACAGCATGTAGTTTACTAGATTTTTTGTGACCATCAAAACATGCATTGTTACTTTCCTTTCCCTTTCTTAATTTAGTTTTCACATAAATTTTATATTACCTGTACAATGAACAACTTTATAACCCTTATTTGAGATATTTATAGTGCAATAAAAATCTTTAGCTTTTAGCTGTTTTTCTTTATTAGTTCAACAAACACACTCAAGGAATACTTTACTTACTGAATACATTTTTTATTTTTATCAACATGAAATTTTGATATCTAAATTAATTATATTTTAAAAACACTAAATAGAACCACCACACTTATATATCTTATATAAATGTAGCTCCTTCATATTAAAGAATATAAATTCCTTAGCAGGATTAAAACTAGGCATACATTGTAGCTGTAAGTGGCAAAGAAGTTTAATTCAGTGACATTAATAACTTAAATATGGAGGAAGCCTAGATATATTAGAAGCGGCCAATATAAATGGCATGAAATATATGTATTTACCTCTTGACCTAAATGTTTTCAATTTGAAAAAAGATAATGCACTAATAACCAGAATATCACCTTGAATGTTTTGAAAGCTTTCCTATAATTTTTGACAATATTGATAACGTTTTATTACATACTAGAAATACAAGCATTATTAAACACACCTTCCTTCTTCACATTATTTGCAAAAGAAAAGTTAATAGACCTGCTACTAGAGTTCAAACAGTACTTCAACTAAAAGTAAACATCAGTAAGATATTACAAAAGATCAAACAGTCTGAGTGAAAATTTTGGAGAAGTTTAAATTGTTAATGTTATGTTATAAACAGGTAGTACGGCAGCATTTGCCATTGTAATTTTTTAATATGATAAATATGTATAAAGTGTATGCATTCTAAAACTCCATTCAATTTTTTACAATTTTGGTACTGGCTATTTACAGTTCTATTTGTTATTATGCTTAGATAGTTAAGTATCAATTTCCTACAAACACTTGTACAGGCATTACAAATTTCCAGAACAGTAACAATCATAAATATCAAGATATTATTATTCAACCATTAGAACATCTTGAAAGTTTGACAGATATTAAATTCATGTACTATCATTTTTAAGTGTCATGTTTATTTCTAAATGGGTAAGACAGGTACTTAAAATAGCAGAATAATATTTTGTTGTGGAACATAATCTATTCTGTTAATGTACAATATTCATGTGTGTTAAATAACAGAGAGATTCTGTGTCACATTTTTTCTGAGAATCGACCATAAGATTATGGAACTGATACAATTTTCCTGCAGATAAATTCTATAAAATTATTTCAAATAATATACTAGCTTTATATCCTTTAAGTTAATGCATTTTATAATAGTTTTGCTAAAAGATTTCACAAGCATACAGCCTGGAACACAAATGGAGACAGCTGTACCTGTTTTGTTTTATATTTACCGGTATGTGTATTTCTGGTAGAATATTTAATCAGTTTTGATCAAATAATAATTAAGTGCAATATTATCCTATATTTTTACTATATATATATTAGAAAATCTTTGGATAGAATCTACTTAGTGAACCCCGAAAATAGTCATTACATTTTCATTACTATGCAACATTTCTGCTGGGACATAATCTTATGTCCCAGATTTCTGGTAATACTGGTGTGTATTCTGTTTTTTTCTCTCCATTTTTTGACATGTCTAAATATAGGTATATATTATATATGTAAAACACAGTGCTGTTAGGGCAGCAGCCCACTTGTTATCATATTTAAATGTGTTCAATTTCCTACATTTGTAAATAATATGTTGTAAAATTATTGTTATTTTTGTTCAACAGAATTTGGCCACCAGTTACATTTACCCAATTCCTTTCAGTAGACGTAGTTACTAGCCGAGTAGCTGTCATAATATGGTACCATCATAACATTATAAAATGGAATACAGAGATACTGTTTTAATTACAATTTTAAATGTGAGGTAGGAAGATATATTGGTCCTTCTCAACTTTGTTTAATTAAACTTTTCATTTAAATGTTCTTCTAAAAATTAAGAAATTTTGATTGTCTTGCTATATAAATCATATAGCAAGACAATCAAAATTTCTTAATATCAGTTTAAAATACATGTTTGCAGATTTAATTGTTTACTTTTGTATGAAAAAACATTAAAGTCTAAAGTATTTAGGTTTAATGTATCCTTATTTATTGAATAAGAAAATTTATCAAAAATAATTTTAAACATTTACATACCTGATATTGGTACCCTGCATCTTTATCCTGTTCAATCATTTTTATAAAAAGATATTATATTGAGTGTCATAATTTGGCAGCTAAGATACGATATATCTCACTAAGGCATGGCCATGAAATCAACAACAACGCCACTCACTGTGCCTAATTATATATTTATCTGGTCAATGCCACCTGAATGTTACGCATAGACATAAATCAGTAATTCCTTCTCTTGGTGAATGCAAATGGTATAGGTAATTTAAAATCATTTACGACTGTTAAACTGGTGAAACATGGTCATGGACCTGGTAGATTATCGTGGATATTTTTGACTTGAAATTTTTTGACACTTTCTCTATTTGGGCTCTTTCATATTGATTTATGGCTTTACCACTTTAGGAACTTAATCCTTAATTGATATAAGTATTAATACATATTTGCCATGCTTGAATAAGCAATCAATACACCTATTTGACCTGTTATCTGTCTTCTTTACAAAGCACTTGTCGTTTTGACCGAAGAACCCAAAAAGACGCTAATATTCGATATAAAGTAGTTCCAAAGAGACAGCATCTAGCCACCATTTTATAGTTATCAAACTCAGTAAATAAGTCATTTGTTCTCCTTTAGCACATTTGAAAATGGTTTTAAATCCTTAATAATAGACTGTATTATGATCTTTCTAATTTCAGTTAATTTGTGGCGCATTGCAACAACTTCCGCAACGGACTATTTTATTTTGTTATTTTAAGACGGTAGAAAAGATTCTGCGGCGGCTATTTAGTGATGGGATTGATCTATCTATCTCTGAGTACTGCCAACCCCTCTCGCGAGTGTAAGGCCTTTAGGCAGGAAATTGTGCGCGTCGGGTGTGTTAGTGAAAGGTGTGAGAGAAAGTAAAAACCTGAAAATTAACATGATCAGGACAGTGAAACTTCTAGTCATTGTTAAAATATTTTTATTAGTAAGGGTGAAAGAAAGATTTAAAAGTAAAAACACAAGTCAACTAATACTGTATCTTAACCCCTGCCTGATTGTATTGATCTAGATCAGACAGGTTGGCAATGTTTCTTGGGAACATTAAATTCTACACTACACGCGGGATGCTTTTATAATATTTTATATACCAAAAAAAAAACAACAAAAAAACAAAAACAAAAAAACCCAAAAAAAAACAAATAAATATTGCTGAAACTTAAAGTTGTGTTGTTTGATTTGCTTCTGCATTTGGCATACTGCAATCTCATGGTTTTTATATTTATTTATTTATTTATTTATTTATTTATTTATTTATTTATTTATTTATTTATTTATTTATTTATTTATTTATTATGTGCTGTATCATGTACAGTGGTTTAAAGGCCGTTTAGAGCTTGTGTTATCATATGTTTGTATACCCGACTTTATAAAATAAATATTACTTGACATAACTCATTATATAATTAATTACTGCATGTGTATTTTGTGAAAAATGGCTGTTTTCATTGTTCAAAAAGCCTCCTGTTACAAGTTCAAATTGCTTTGAAACTATGAAAGATGCTCCAATATTCATCGAACTTGGCACAAATGTTGACTGGACCATAGCCTTTGTAACAGCATGCTCAGTCTTAAATTTCATGGCAACATCTCAAAATGTAATACAGATGCGGGGTTTTCATGCGCAATCTTTGAAAAATAGCATGCCTCCCGCAATTTCGTGTTCTAGAATAGACAATGAATCTGATGAACATCCACCCTTGAGAAAAGTATGTAGAACAGTGACATTTCTGTGATTTTTTTCTGGTTTTGTGTAATTACATATTTTGTCTTACCAAATTTTAGATAGAGATCATGTTCGCTTCTCAAAAGAAGTATTTACCAGTATTAAAAAATAAGAATCTAGCAGAATCAACAGCGGAGAATGCTAGGAAACACTTCTTGACATGGTGCAGGAAATAGGAGCATCAAAAGCAAGCAGTTCATCAGTCTGCCGGACTGTATTACACTCCCCACCCCCATCTTTGGAGGATGTTGAAGGGTTCGAAAAGGAGTTGAGACAACAGACTGTTTTCAATAACAAGGTAAGACTGTTCATACAAGTATATTTTTTTGTCTATCAGTACATACTGACTCAATGCTATTTGATTAGTGCCTCTGAAAGTAAATGTTTGTAATTGACCCATTCATTATACAATTATTAATTTACTACATTTCGTGCATTTTTTTGTAAATTTTAAAAAATGTTTTCATTTGTGGCAGCAAAACTTAAGCATACAGTAAAAAAACAAAAAATTCTTTTAAAACAGAAATTGAGATTTGTTTTTAAATACATATAATCTTTATATTCATTTAAAAAGATTTTGTTATGTTTCAAGACTGTTAAGCCTTGGAATATGAAAAATGACACTTACATTTCAGATCTTTGGGATTGGTTATTCTGATTAATCTATCAGTTGAATAAAATGAGAAAAAAGCAAGCAGACTATTATGATTGTTAGACTATTATGATTGTTAGTAATTCAAAATCTATAAAAGTATAATTAAAGGCCATTATTTGTTACTCAAATGCTTTGAAGGTATGGACATTTCAGTTGTCATAACAATGAAGAGTAGGTGAACTAATTCAAATTATTTCCGAAACTTTCAAAACATTTAAACAAGACATACCGAGTATATGACTGTAAAAAGTCAAAATAAAGATTGCATTTATTTATTTTTATGTAATTAACAGAGACATTGTAGAAGATCACACAAGGAACAACGACAGCTGATCTGAAGTGGAATTTAAAAGTACAGAATTGTTGCGGACACCCAAATACCGTGAGAATAGGGCCGTAAAAATTGAAAGCCAGCCACAAATATCACAAGTGAAAACTAAGAAAACTGAGATTTAAAAATAACTGTCCTCCAAGATACATAATTATATTTACATGGACTGATTAATGAACTGTTTTATGAGTTATGCACCATTTATATTATTAGCTATTTTTTCTGTAAATTACCATTGTGAAAGCTTTGATTAAGCATTGGGAAAATACCATTGATTTAAAAATGTCAGTATCATGAAATTGTACTTTTACCTTTCTTTTAAATTCTTTACAAGAAAGGACGATCAAAGCTGTTCAATTTTGAAAGTGTATAGAGCTATGTTGAATTAAACAATTGTAAATATTTATATAATAAAAAGCAGCAAAACATCATTGTTTAGATTACCTTTATTAAATTCTCGAAATAGTTAAAATATAAAAAGCCCTTGTTAATTAACACACATAACTATTGAATGTAGTTCTGGAACGAACAATATTTTCGCTTACTTTTTTCACTTGGTTAATCAATCATTTGGGGAATGTTTCTTTTGATCGATGGCAACAAATAGGTATACAAATTTCTTTCATTTTTAGGTATCCTGTATCTATTGTAATCAGAATATAAACAAAATTTGATTGCATTCATAGCACATAGAATGCATAGCTTTAAACAGTTTAAATTCAAATTTTGTAATTTTCATGCTCTTAATTTTCAAGTTAAAACTGTTAATATCTCAATTAAACATGCATTTTTTTCTAATATCAAAGTTGACTTTCAACCACTTTGCTTTTATATGTAATGATAATAATGTGATCATTTTTTGTTTTTGTTTAGAATTTTTAAAATTAAAACTGTTTTTTAATTTTTTTTTATTTAGTTGTGTTTTAGTTTCTCACTTAAGGATGTCAACAATCAAAGAAATTTTAAACAAGAAATGGTGACCTTTAGGGTTTTAAATTGCAGGTTATTACAGGTAATTTCTATCTACTGTTGGCTGATATCGCACCGCTATTGTTTAGATGTGCAAGAAATATAGGGCCTGTATTGTTTTGATGTTGGCTCGATGTAGACCTATATTGTTTAGATATCGGCCCGATATTGTGCTACCGATGTCGGGCCAGCATAATTCCTATTTGCAGCCGAGGTTAAAATTCGACGTCGGGCCTTCATAGAAAACCATGTAGGTTCGATGTCTGGCCGATATAGAATGTTGGCTGGGAATGGATAACGTCAGTTGGTACTTAGTCGCGGCCATTTATAAGATCTACAATTGCGTGGATTTATATATGTGTACTGTATCTTCTTTTCCTTATATTTACGAGCTTGCCAAATGCAAGTTGATGTTCTTACTTCAATATTATCTCCGCCAAGTGTGTTGCAAATGTTAAACATATGTTTCCATAATTGGGGTCCAATTAAGACATTAGATGCATTTCCTAGCTCAGTGACAATGCGTTGTCGTACAAAGCTAGACTTAAACTGGTTAAAAGAAAATAGTGCATAACCGCTTATTTTCCAGATCCAAATGTGATTTTTTTGTCTCCTTCCTTGACTAAAAACTTTTTTGTTGCGTATGTCACGGAAATCGCGCTAGCGTCAGAGCTTTCACAGTGTCTGAAAAGAGCACGAAAAGTTCATAAAATTTGATTGAAAGATCGAAAGTGTGGGAAAGTATCTTTAGGATGTCAGCGGCCAATGTTCGCATCAATTATACTTAAACAATGAACTTAAAAGTTTTAATTGATATAGGTCAGAATTTTTTTCCAAGCTTAATTGAATTTCAAGGGAATTAACCGTGTTAAATAATTAATAGTTTGCTCAATAAATTATCCCCCTTAAGAAGTATAAATGCTTATAAAAATTGTATTTTAATAATATCGATTACACTGGTCAGTTAAAAATATACATTAACTATCAATATAAAGATAACCATAGATAATCAAAGCTCTAAAACACTGATGATGTTCGGCACTACATCATGGTCAAGCCAAAATTCTCAAATAGTCATATTGACGGTATGTTTATTTAACTTTTGGGTCGTGATCTTTGACCGGGTCCACATATAATGAACATTAATATCTCCTGTTGGGCGTAATTATGCCTGAAACTATCGTGTGTATGTTCTCTGGAAAAATCTGGTCAGTTTTTTATTGCGAATAAAAAGAATTACGTGCGTTTTTATTAAAATATGCTAATTCAAACCGTAAAATCGAATTCTTCTTAAGACCCCCTCGGGTCTTTTGGACATTGTTTTTTTGTTTTTCCCATTCCCCTATTTAGTTTTTTCCTTTACTAACAGGGAAAGCAGATGTCTATGAGAATAACATCTCATGTTTTTTTAACTGTAAATATACAAACTGGGATATATTATATTGAATACAACTGAAAATATGGTTCTAATCTTTAAACAGATGCTAAACATTCACGTTTTGTTTTGAACTCTATTTAATTTTGATAGAGAAAAATATTTTGGATTAAAAAATATTTTATCAACCTACCTACCCTACACAAACTAGCATGGGTCGCAGGAGGATAAACAAAGATACATTTAAGGCTTCCCTTATTCGTTTGCGTATACAAACTATATACTTATTTTATTTTATTCAATTGTATACAAATTTCTTTTATTCATTTACTGTCACACTCGATTTTTTCATTTGTATTGACATTTTCTTTATTCATTTATATAAAACACTTCCTTTATTCATCTGTATACAAATCGCTATTATATATTTGCTGACACAAATTATTCATTTACTCATTATTTATTTGTTTGCTTAAACACTTTCTTTTCAAATTTAAACAAATTTCCTTTTAATCATTTTGTCTGTTGTTCTCTAAGTTTTTTTTATTTATTTGCCAAACTACAAAGGTTCAACAGGAATTTAACAACAGAAATTCAATTGGTTCATACTTAACCATCACCTGAAATCTTCAAACGATTCCAATATAATAACACTCGAGATGTTTAAATTGATTGAACTTTTTTTATAGCATTTCTTTTCGTTTATCACCAAAATAAACAAATCTGTGTAAGATTATGTTTTGCTATAAATTTTGATGATAACACCGTTTGGCACTCATTTCTTAAAATGTTAAAATCTAAACAATTGTCATTAAAATCCCGTTTATAGATTAAAAAGTTCACTACAATGTTTTGTTGTATATAAAACCAACACAATTTATTACGTATTTAATTCAAGGGTTTTATGTACGTGTTTGATTATTAAAGTATGAGATTAGTTTTTTTCTTAATTTTTCCTTTCTTTGACCTCTGTAAATATACTTTATTCCCTTTACTTTATTCATATAGTTAATATTTACGTATGTATGTA